TTAAAAAAATTGTATAGTTAAGGTATAATACTGTAATGTTAAAGATAAATATAAAAAAATATTTATAAAGTTAATATATAATAATTTAATGTTAAAGATAAAAATATATAAAAAAATATAATGTTATATAAGAAAACTCAAGTCAAGCCGAGATAATTTGACGAATTCATAACTTATAACGTGAGAATGAAATAAAAAAATTCAAAAGAAGGACCTAGTATGAAAAAATAAATTTCAATATAAAAAATATTACAAAAAAGACTTTCGGTAAACTCGGGCTAACTTTATCAACCTACTTTTATAATAATTAAACAAAAAGAAAAGTTAAAAAATGACAAAGTTCAAGGAAAAATAACTAATGAAAAATAATGAAATTATAAAAAAAATTTAAAAAAATTTAAAATTTTTTATGAAGTTAATCTGAATTAACTAAATCAACTTACCACTCTTAACATGAAATTGAGATAAAAAAGGAAAAAAAAACTTCCAAGTTAAATAAAAAGAAACATTGCGAAAAAGAAAAAGAAGAAAGAGCAAGTTAACTTGATGTTTGATGCAATCTGAGCAACGCACGCATCATCTGAAAAGCTTAAATTACGCCTCCTTACTAGTGTGTTTCTGACACACACCAACTAATTTTAAATTAAAATAATAGTTTGTATTATTAAAAGACTCAATTATCCTTCACCTCACATGACAATTATAAAAATATATGCAAAATATTTAAAGTGCCCTTGCATCCAAGTGAAGGAAGATTATTCTTAAGGGACATTAAAGTAATTGAGTTGCACAAAAAAGAAGAAAAACTCGAAAAGCCACCGAAACTAAGGAATTTTTGTTCTTCTAACGGCTATTTAGTAATTATATTGCAGACAAAAATGTAAAAATACCAATTCACGCTCTTCTTTAATCCAATTATTAATAATTCCCAGTAAAAAACACCTTCCTGCCCTAAACCCAAGTCTGGTCTCCAAAGGTAAAATCAAGACGTTCACTATGCGATCGTATGGAGTGTAATAAAAATAAAAATAAAAATAAAAATAAAAATATGTCGGAAGCACGTGGTCAAGAAACCATGCAACTAAACGGGTTGGATCGCCGACCCATATGAAATTCCAAAAATCTTCCAAAGACGCAGGCGCTTACGCAATTAACGACTCGTGTCGTGCAAGAACCCCACCGCCTCGCTGACTCAAGCTTTCCCTTATAAAAAACGAGAGCGAAACAAAGAAACCGAACCAGGTACATTGTAGAAAACGGGAAGGAAAATGCCAGGACTAACTTGTAACGCTTGTAATAAAGAATTCAATGATGAAGCTGAACAAAAACTCCATTACAAGTCTGAATGGCACCGTTACAATCTTAAACGCAAGGTGTGTTCTTTTTGTTGTTTTCTTTGCTTGGTTTAGAGGCTAGTTGGAGATCATTGCATCACTGTTTTTTTTTTTTTTTAAGGAGACAATGTTTTTAAAGTTGGAGAATTTGAGGTTTTCATTAATGACAATTGTCGTGTTGTGTTTTTTCAGTTAATTGTAATTGAGTGAATGATTTGGTTTTGTGTTCATTACTACTATCGACAATGATGATGACTTTTAGCTCTACAGTGGCATGATTTTGTGGGTTAATTGAGATTAAACTAGCCAAGTTTTGATATTAAGAAATACTTTGGAAGTGTAGAAAGTGGGCTTTGTTTAGGAATAACAATACATGAAAGCCGCTATAAATTGCTTTGGCAAAAGAATCAACATTTATTGCGCAGTTGGATATCAAATTACGGATTTTGGCTATTGTTCTTAGGTGATATCAGTAAGAGGATTAATGATATGGTTTGGTTTTAAAAATTCATTACAGGTTCTTAACGTTTTTCTATTTTTTGGAATTTTGTTTAAACTTAGGTTGTTGGTGTTCTGCAAGTGCTCAGCATATCACTATGAGCCAAAATTGTGTTGTTTAGCCTCAATAATTCACGACAAGTTCTTAACTTTTTAATATTTCTGGGTCTGTTGTTAAAATTCAGGTTGCTGGTGTTCCGGGAGTGAGTGAAGCATTGTTTGTGGCTAGACAGTCTGCAATTGATAAAGAGAAAGAGAAGAATGAAATCCCTATGTTTTATAGTTGTGTTCTATGCAACAAGGGATATCAAAGTTCCAAAGCTCATGATCAGCACCTTAAATCAAGGAGCCATATACTGCGAGCTTCTCAAGGAACAAACCAAGAAGCGGAGAATACTGTGATTAAACAGCTTCCTCGTCGCGAGGTGAATAAGCGTGCTGTGCAATGGGATGCAGATGCTCGAGAAAGTGAAGAGAGTGAGGATGAGTGGGAAGAAGTTGGTTCAGATGAAGAGCTGGTTGCTGAGGCCACTAAGTCTTTGACTGGTTTGAATGTAAATGAGATGGCCTCTCTTGTTGATATAGTTGAGGATGAAGAAGATGATGAGTTGTTGGATCCAGCCTGTTGCTTCATGTGCGATCAAGAGCATGATAACATTGAAAGTTGCATGGCTCACATGCATAAGCAGCATGGGTTCTTTATTCCTGATGTCGAGTATTTGAAGGATCCAAAGGGTCTTCTTACTTATCTTGGCCTCAAGGTACTGGATTACGTACCATGTTCTCTATTTGTGCAATGTATTTTTATATTATTTTATACTTGAAGTCTGTATTTGCTTACTTGTATGTTCTTTTTTCCTCTCCAGGTGAAGAGGGATTTCATGTGTATGTACTGCAATGACAAGCGTCAATCTTTCAACAGCTTGGAAGCTGTTAGGAAGCATATGGAAGCTAAAAGTCACTGCAAAGTACATTACGGTGATGGCGATGAGGATGAGGAAGCTGAATTAGAAGACTTCTATGACTATAGCAGCAGGTTTGTAAAATGCTCATTATTGAATGCCAGCTAATTTCTTATGAAATCTCCTTTTATGATACTACAATCACAGGAGAGTTATCTCGTTCAATACTTGACTTCTAGCTATTTCTTTTAATTTGTCATCTTTAGTTATGTTCCATATTGTTTATCCGTTCAATTCGCCCCTTTGATTTTGTTTCCCTGGTTGCAGCTACGTGGATGAGGATGGTAGACAACTTGTTGCTTTGGGCGACACTAGCAACATCGCAGCACTTGGTCGTGCTGATTCAGAGCTGATTATAACCACAAGATCTGCTAATAAAGTATTATCCAAAACTCTTGGTTCTCGAGAATATTTGCGCTACTACCGGCAGAAGCCACGTCCATCACCTGCAAATGATATGGCCATAACTGCTGCACTTGCCTCTAGGTATTCTTTCAATCCACGTTTTTCAGAAAATACGATTGAGATAATAAGAGGAGACAGTTTGGAATGAAATGAAATTGAGGAGACAGTTTGGAATGAAATGAAATTGCTCTCTTCCCCTTTTACCCAAGTAATTCTAGGAATCAAATAAATTGAGAAGCGGTGGTATTTTGTCTAACTTTTGATCCAATTTTCAGATACCGGAGCATGGGTCTGGCAACTGTGCAGTCAAGAGAGCAAATGGTGAGGATGAAAGTCATGAAGCAAGTGAATCGATCAGCTGAGACCATGCGCACCAAGATTAGCATGAAGAATAACGTTATTTGGAACTTGCCCAAGAACGTCCTGTATTAGTTCATGGCATGTCCTCATCTTCTTCTTCTTGTAGCAAATGTCGAGAATTTGCTACCACTGGTTTAGGTGTTAGCTATGTGGATAGTTCTCCAGTTCACAATATAAGCTGCATTTGACATGAAAGCTGAAGGAATTGAGCATCGTTTTAGAGCTTTGCAAAGGAAGGATGGCAATGATTATTTATGGATTGAGATCTTATTATATTTATATTAGGTAAGGAATTTAGATATCTTGTCGTATGTATTGGATTTTAGATATCCATTATTTACTTATTATTTAACATAAAATATAACAATAATACATATATTTCAGGTGTATATAACTAGATCAGGTTTAACAATAATCTATTAGTTGAATCATCATTGAAATGAATTAAATATCCAAATCCATCTGAATCGAGTTCAATACTGATACGTGGCAAAAGCCCCTGTAAAAAAGATCTAAACGAGTTGAAATTATTGACTTTTGACTGATTTTAGAATTATTGTTACTTTTTATAAAAATATATTAAAATATTTTTTATTTCTTTTTAAATTTATTTTTAATACCAGCATATTAAAACAATTTTAAAACATAAAAAAATAATTAATTAGAAAATAAAAAACTCAGTTTTTTTGAAAAATACAGCATGACTGGAAAGACAAACACACTATCTGACAGCATCTCTTGCTGCGGAATATGCTAATGGCAGAATTGGTGCGGTCCTTTTTCATGAATTATAAACAGAATAATACTACAGGATTGAAGGCGCCATTTTTTTGAAGACTAATTAAGCAATACATAAAAATGGCACTAAGCTCTTCAGCTCTCCATTTTACGGTAAAAATGGTTCTCAGCACGCCATCAACAGGGACACCAATGTGATCCCGCCCGAGTGGATAGTAGATGCTGCCTATAGTACCCTATGCATTGCAATCCGTACATTCGAATTACAGAGTCCATAGATTTATGAACACATTTATTTAACCAAAGGAGAGACCTAGTGGTCAAGACGGTCCGATCCTTTAACTTTCTAAGTTCACACATTGAGCCAAGCCAGAACCCGAGATAATTCAAGTACCAGAGTACCCTAAGCTGATGTGAACAGAGCACTGTTAAGATCACTTGTAGATGATCTGTAGCGTGCCCGTTTTAGTAGCGTTTCAAATTGCTTTTTGTATGAAAAAACATTAAAAAAATGATGCTTTTTGATACAAACAGCAATGCCAAACGAGCTTTTAGTTTAGTTGACGCATAAACTCACCATCAAACCAACAAAATAAAAATATCCATGTAACCAGCACACAATTCCATGCATATGGACTAATAACATAAATGCATTTGAGATGCACAGATAACTAATGGATCTCTAATAAATGCAGCCAAGATAAACTGCCAGAAAATATGCTTCGTATTTATGTTGGTCAGAATTTGAGTCGATCAAAGATAAGGTAGCAATTTCAGAAAATAATATACAGTGAAGACACCCAAAGTCCTATTAAAGCAAATTAATAATCAATCTCAAATTAAAAAGAAAAAATGGAGTCACCATACCTGGAAATGGCAAATACAAAAATTCATGTCCATCAAGCAAATCTAATTACATATACAACAAGATGAGCTTCGGATGAAACCGAAATTATCTGCGGAATCACTAGCATTCTGCTTCACTTGTACTAAGGCCACTGCTAACACAATGCAAGGGAACTAGTAAGCACATTACTAAACACACCAATGAGATGAGACGGAGGATATAACACTGTAAATATAATTGTGCACTATTAAATTGGAAAAGCTGGGCCTTTCTACAGCAAAATAAACCTACTTGATTGTCAAAGCTTGATCCATGAGCAAGTCCATACCTAACTGTCAAAGAAGCGGGAGTGGTGTCTTCGAGATCTGTGAGATGTAGGAACAGCAAGCATAAATTATAGGAAGGATGTAAAGTTAACAGAACCAGCAATTTCTAACAGGCCAATTCATATAAGCTAGTTTTACATGCATGGCATCTAACACAGATACACCTCAATAAACTTGTTTGAATTCTTCAGGTGCACACAGGGAAGTATTGCACACAGTAAGAGAACTGCCCATGACAGCAGAAACCAGTTCTATCATATTAAAAAAAGGTGGATTAACGCATCAACAATGGTTGAAGAGTGCATTTATTCTACTCTCAAATTATTTGTACTCAGTGACTGTCAGATGTGCATGCAGATCAGTAAATGCAGATCCTGAAAAATCAAAGGTAACCAGAATTTCCACTTATCTGTAGCTTGTGCATTTTTATGTCAGTCCCTGTATGGTAGCAATTATGCGAAGATTTTTGGTGCCCAATGCCCACCAAGAAAATAGTGCAAATAATTATAAAGAAAAAACTTTAACTCTAAGTTCAATCAAACACAAAAAAGGTGCCAAAATGTAAGAGAAAAGGTAGCTTTATTGACCTGCGATGACCAGAACTACCCCTAGAGGGCACACTTGAACTTGCAAACTCATCATCAGTCTCATCTAATCTGTATTCTGCAAAGTCGACAGATGCCACAGAGCTCTCATCAGAATTCGAAGTATCGTGACTTGAGCGGCGACTTCCTCTCCTTGTATCAGCTACTCTTGCCCTTCTTCTATTTCTTGAGTTTCTGAAGTTATCAAAAACCTTATACAAGATACAAGAAGTCCACCAGCTGCCTTTGACCCTAGGGAAGTCATCAAACTCATCTCCAGTATCATCATCCCCATACTCAATCACATAGTCTCCTAAAACAACTCCGCGTGGCACTTCTGAATGTATGGTGCTCAGAACATCTATTATCTCAGATGACTGCTGAAAATTTTCCCAATCAAGCTGCCGAGCAGGGTCAATTTTTGAAGGGCGAGCATGTGGGTGTTCTACTTGAGCATGTTCATGTAGTTCAAAATATGTTCCTGTGAATGTACATTGTTCTTCAGCGCAACAACGCTTTTTCTCATCCAAATCTAAACGAGCCCTATCAATAACAACCCACCCAGTAACTTCACCTCGACACAACGGACAAGCTAGTTTGCAATTGCTATCCGCTACTGTTGGCTGAGTATTTGTCAAAGGAGTTGAATCGGATGTTGAAAGGGATGGCATACCACTGGCATTTTTAAAACGATCCAGACAATTTGAATGCAAGTGGTCAGTATCGCACACAAATGGTCGGCACCCTTTATGATAAGATGAGCATTGGAGGAGAACACAATTGTGAGGGAAATCCAAGCATATTGGACAAATCACATCTTCCCAATTTGTATTCAACTGAATATCTTCAATGTTGATACAATTGGCTCGGTAACCTCTTTGAAAATAAGGCTTAAAGGCCATGATCAACACCTCCAAACAACAATCTACAATGACATTAAGAAAACTCAGAAACATAGACAGCAAACAAACTGAAAAAAGACGAATATAGCAACTACCAAGTATAGTGCTAGCTAAGCTCCAACAGAGAAAAACAGATGGAAAAACCCTGATCTAGTACAGCATGAAAATGCATAAAGCTGCACATTGAAGAATAAACAGTCGATGGAGTTACGTGTAGACATATCAAGGAAAATCTGAAAGTCACAAATTGCTTTGATCCTTTGATGACAATATTATTGTATGCAAATTAGGCAAATGAGTTGTCACCTCCATCACTTACCCTTCCATTTCCAGCAACAAATTCCCACTTCAACCTTATATTTTCTAAGTACCAATTGAACCATGTCAACTTAATTCCATTCTGCAGTATACCCTTGAGATAATAAACTAAAATTCAAGAAATCACACGGGTGAATACATCTCTATTGTTATCATTACAAAAAATTGATCTATCTATCACACATGAGAAACTATCGGAATCTTCATTCGCTGTAAATGTCTCAAAACTCAGGAAAATTCCATTGAATCAAACAATTCATACTTAGTAGCAAGATCATGTACTAGAATCTAACTTAAATAACCATCAAAGCTGATCAATCAATCCTTACTATTCCTTACTATTCACTAACAATCAAAACCCCCAAAACCAATCAGATCATTCACCCTAAATTTGCTCAGCAAAAAATGAATATTAACAAGTAGAGAAACAAATTAATCAATTCAAAATCAAGGGTCAACAGAAAAATAATAACAAAAAACATTCAACTAATATTCATCAAAATCATCAATAATAAAGCAAAAAAAAAAACCCACAAAATCCAGAATCATGCTTTCTGCCCCCCCCACCCCCAACCCCCCACCCCCAAAATAAAAATATAAAAAAAAACCCAGCTGCTCAACCAAAACTTAAAACCACTAAAACCCGAAAAAAGAAAAAGACAGGAAAATAAGTGATCAAAAAGAAAAGGAAAATTTGAAGTATTCAGACCTTAAAGACAGAAACTTTGGGACTGAAATGAAAAACCCAGATGCGAGAAAGACCAAAGAGATTAGAGAAGTCAGTTTTCGAAGTACGTAGGTCCTCTCATCTTTCCTTCTTCACTTGTGTCTGCCTCTCTGTGTGAATGAAGGGGAAAGCCCTTTTTTTTTAATTTTTTTTCAATTCATGTACTTGCCTTTTTTATTTTTTTATTTCCAGTCTTTATGTTTTTAAACTAAAAAGAAATTGATTAGAAGGTCAAGAAAATCCATTGACGTAATTACCCTTTTCCATGCATTGACCGTGCTCTTGTATAAATAATGCATTATCTTTTTTATTCTTTGATCTTAGAAGCAAAATCTTTCGTAAACACATTCTTAATTGTCATGTGATTTCCTTAATTACAAGTTATTATTTAATATTTTGTAATGAGATAGAGGTAATTGTGGGAAAGAAATGAGAGTGAATTGTTTATCTAAAATTAGATCAAATCAAGAGTACTTAAACATCGCTTTTTTTTTCTTTTAATTCTGTTTGCTAAATCATAAAATAAATGACAACTTTTTTTTTGTTTGAAGAATAAAAAGATTACAATTAATTATTAAAAGTTTTTAGATTAATCTTAGTCAACTTATATTTACTCATACAATCTATAATTATAACTTTGACCAGATTTAATAACAACTTCAATTGAAAAAAAAAAATAAACAGAGAAGGTGATTAATTTTAATCTATATTGATGGTAATATAATTGTAAAACCTGCCAGAAAACCAACACAACATCTTAAGTTAAAAGTAAGGAAGATCATTCTATTTTTTCAAATAAAAAATTAAAATAATATTATTTTGACAAAAAAATAAAAAAGGGAAGTCAACTAAAAGTTCCGAGTATGAACATATAAACAGATCAGCCTAAATTTTAACTGGAACAGCTTCTTCTTCTTTTTCCCCCCTTCAACTCTGATCGGCTACGTCACAACTATGGATGAAAGATGCATAGCAAAGAATAAAAAAAAAAAATTACATGACAGCATAGGGGGCCGCCGATCTTACTGATGTGTAAATTGATGCAACCCATGCAAAATGGTCCATCAAAACGCAGAAAGGATATGCCCCTCCTCTCTGTTGTTAACAACATAAATTTGGCAAATTGTAGCGATGGAACCCGTTTACATCTCAAATGCTGAGGCATCTACCTCTGATGTTAACTATTCCTGATCCTCCATTATCCGGGTTATGATTCCGACGGCAATGGTTTTCCCTGATGTTCTCAGAAACACTCTTCCAAGAGCTCTGCAATTTGTGAACTCTTCCATGCAGACAGGTCCGTCCAAAAGCACCTGAAATGAGAGAGAGGGCAAAGAAATGTGAGATCGAGTTCACTGCTGTTTCAGTGTAAATGTTCGATGGAAGAAATGATCATTCGTTTTAATTCACCTCAATCACTGCACTCTGCTTTGAGGTAAGACGGCGAGGCGCCTTCTTTGTCACCTTGCCTGTCTTTGAATCAAGCGCTGATATTATTTTAACAACTCTTGCAGCCTCCTTTGCGTGGTGTCCATGGAATTCCAACTGCAAAATCGACTTGAACTATCAGATTCCAACTGCAAACTAATAGAGAACGCTATGGAACAAAATGAAAATTGTACAGGGGAGCTTACTTGAGAACCAATCACAAGTGGGATTTCCAAATCTAACATGAGCACCTTCAGCTCAAAATGCCGTGCTACTGCAACAGGAAAGTCAGGATGACATAGAACACCTCCAGTCATCACATTACTTCCATCAATGCCTAGGAGACTGACAGTCACATTATCTCCTGCTCTAGCGACATCACAAGCCTTAGAGTCTCTTTCTAGGGAGCGAACTGTCCCCACATCTCCTGATGGGATAACTAAAACCTACATTCCACGAATTACAAACATGGTTATAGTAACAGCACAGAGTGATATTGGCTGCAACAAAATATACATTTCCTTACCTCAACTGGATAGGTATTATCAGCAGCGCAAATTCAACCAACGGTATAAATTTAAAGCACAATCATTATATGCACTTTATAATTTACTTTCAATAACCCAAAAACTCTATTATCACACCAGTGCACTGCTCTTGTCCAAGAGCAGTTGAAGAGACAGAATCACTGACAAGTTACAGCAGCACTCAGAAACACAGTCAATGTGCAAAGTTGGTCAAATTCTGGGTCATTAATTACCTGAAGGCAACCTATGATTGGCACATGAATGTCTCAAGAAATTCATCCCTTATTATGCAAAGCTGAACATATACAAACACATGTGTACACACAATAACAAAGAATTCCTTCTTAGTAGAAGCATGACCACTCTCAACTCTCAAGAAGAATTGTAGCATATCTACAAATGTCTTCAACCTTAATCACGTCCTTCCAGGGAAATGGAGAGAGGTCAGAAACATTCAAGTGAAGACCACCACGACATTTTGCTTCTATAAATGAATATTTATTAGTGCATTAATGAAGCCAAAGATCCATGCGAGGAAAATTCACCAGCTCATGCTAAAAAGCACTGATAAGATGGTTTGCATTCAGGAAAATGCAAATCATCCATCCAATGGATTTCTCAATGATGAGCCATATCACTTGTTTTTCAGAAAGTCTAAAGTTAGTTTTACAATAGCAAGTAGCAACCTTAATGCAGTACCTTCAATCCACTTTGAAGAGCACCAGCCTCCAATTTACCGCAGGCTGACACCTGCCCTTGTGAAGATGATATCACTACATCACATATGGGCATGAGAAGAGGTTTTGAGAAATCTCTTGTTGGTGGCTGAAGAGAATCAATTGCATCCAACAGATAAGGTCCACGGTACCTGCAATTCAGTTATTTTGCTTGATTTTCAACTCCCTAGAGATAGTTATAAGATTCCACTGAGACCTCTTTTATAGCTCCTGAAATGGAAAATATTTCTTGTAAATAAATTGAAAGTGAACTCACCATGATGAAAAACGAATATCAGAAGGAGCTGCAACTAAATTTTGATTTTCCACTGCACTCAATGGGATCCATGACACCAAGGAATCCTTGAATCCACAAGAATGAAGAAATGTTCCAAGCTGTGTTCTAATCAAATCAAATCGATCCTTGGAGTACTCCACTGAGTCCATTTTGTTGACTGCGACTATAATCTGGTCAACACCAAAACTTCTAATAAGAAGTGCATGTTCCCTAGTTTGCCCCTTGCTGTCCATCCCAGCTTCAAAACCCCCAACGGAGGCATCTATTACAAGGATGGCAGCATCAGCTTGTGTTGACCCGGATATCATGTTTGGGACAAAGTCTTTATGGCCTGGGGAATCAATCACAACAACATGATATTTTTTGGAATCAAAATAAGCAACAGCGACTGTCATAGTTATTCCCCTTTCCCTCTCCTCAGGACTCTCATCCAATGCCCAGGCATAAGCAAATGACCCCTTTCCCTGTTTGAATTATAAAAAACCAAAATCAAGTATTGTTATTGTTGTTTTCTTAAACAGCAAATGCATGCAAACAAGCAAAACCTTATTGACATCACCTGTAACTTGGCCTCCTTTTCATATTTGAGCATTTGCTTTTGGGTTATTCGTCCCAAAAGATGCAGTAGTCTACCTGAGAGTGTTGATTTCCCAGAATCAACATGGCCAACCTATAATCGTTTATAGATGAAGTTTATCAATAAAAAAATTATTAACATATCCTTATTGAAGATATTAACATCCAATTCCTAGAGTATATGACTAAAATCCAAGGTCCCACTTACAATTGCAAGATTCAGTTGTGTCAATGCATTTTCTGATTTGCAGGGGAGCATCCATTTATCTGGTTGATACTGTGCAGATGACTTGTGCCTCTTAGCACTAGCCTTGTATGACTTTCCAGATTTATCAGACAGGGACATTTCATTCAAATTACCTGTAAGACCAAGAGACTCGCCCGTGTTTGTTGAAGAACTGCTATAATCAACACTTCTATCTTTGCCTTTTGACGTTGATGGAGTGCTATCTGAAGTTTCATCACTTGATTGAGTGCCAACCATACCATTCTTCTTTTGATTGCCCTCATCCACTCCAGGCCTGCCTTTTGAAATAGAAGCAGAAGAACCATCAGAAATTTGCTGTCCTTGTTTGCCTTTTGGCATTGATGCAGATGATTTATCTGAACTTTTAACAATCTCAGTAACGGCAGCAGTTACATTCGGATATCTGGAGTTGAAAAGTTTGGCTGCAAGAAAAGGCAGTACAGAAACAAGATGAAGCAAAATTGTATTCAAAAAGGAACTGAGAGAACTCTTGAAATTAAGCTATTTTAACTACATTGTTGTTTCAGCTAACAATGGATAATATGATTTGTATAAATACATAACACAGACATGCATTTAAGAAAAATATAGCTTGTTTGTACATGCAAACCAACATAAGTGAATACCATGTCACTAAGTTGTACACTGTGAGCAATTAAAAGGCAGGTAGCATATTGTATCATTTCATGTTGTAGCAGGACATTGTTCCATTATATAATAAACTCAAAGCCTTAATTTTGCAACTTGCAGCACTATATTTTTTTTATTCAGACTCAACCTCCACTTGATTAAGTTTATATGGCAGACTATATCATCCTGATAGGAGCGGATTTAAATAGACAGTTGAGCTATAATAGTGTTAGTTATTTCGTGTGGAGCACAGCCTTACGGGGTAGGATACTTCGAATGAATACCAGTACTCAACTGCTGTACTCCAAACTAGATTCCTGGAAGGGAGAATTTGGAGATGCTTATACCAATGTACGAATCAATGGCAGCTATACAAACAAGCTGATACTTTTCTCAATCTTCCTAAGGTTAACTGTCATAAAAATCAAGTAAATAAAGTTTTTGGCACCGTACACAAAGTGACCTCTCAAATTTGAAACTATAAAAGGATACCTTTAGAACCAATTTTGGAGGGATGTAATCCATCAGAAACCAAATCATCTTGAGATGGAATATTAAACTTAAAAGGAGCTGTATAAGTAATATATGGAATGTTAGTACATACATAGAAGCCACAGATCTAATGACAGTTTTGAGAAGCAAGATTGCAAAATGACTCCAAAAAACAGCCATGAGCTGGAGAATATATACACCAGCTTCATCCAAAGGATTCTCAAGTTAAAGAAAACGGGTCTTTAATATCTACTGTTTTTCATCAATTCATCCTGTTCTAGAACATGCGCAGACCTACATCAATACAGGAACTAATATCATCAGAGTTTCCTTGGAAACTCCCACACTTGTGGAAGTTATTGCCCTCTTCTGTCACAAAATCATCATTCCACTGTTGACCTCCTACAGCCATCTGTGGAGTCCAATGTGGCAATGATACAGAAAAGAGACTTGTTCATCATGGATGCTCCAGACTCTTTGCACATACTACCCGCTGCATTATAGAAATCTATTCTATAAAGGGAGAACCAACTTGAAATGAAACCTCAATAACAATAACAAAGATAAAAGCTGTCAGTTTTGTCATATCAAACCAAAGCAGCGCCACCACCAAAATCATGCCTCCTATGTTAGTGGCTTACATCATCCAGGAAGTAAACGAAGACAAAACACAATGAGCTAAAAAAATAACACTACATAATTCACAACCAAGTTGTTGAAGAAGCAAAACATAATATGAAAAGAACAAAATATTTTCCTAACTACAAAGAAGAGAAACTATCAAGCATACATACAGTTGCTAAGTTGTTCAAATTGAAAACAGAAACTTCTCCATACCTCCTCCTCCTCCTCCAGCTCTCTTGATACTGCCAGGGACAGGATTCCGAATAACCTCGCAAATATCACAAGCAGTCATGCTCTCATCATTATCATAATTGCAAATTGCGCAACGCCATAGTCTAACCTTATCATTATACTTGGCCGTTTCGTGCTTAGGCTCAGCTGCTTCCACTGGTACGCAATTAATAAGTAATTACCGCATCAAATAAAGCAAATTTGTAGCATTATATGCATATAAAAAGTAATTATTTCTACTAACCATCATCTTCTGCATCATAATCATCGTCGTAATCATCATAATCTCCATCGTCACAATCTACTCCGTAATTCACCTTACGAGGCATTTTAAGAAATTTAATTAAAATTACCTTGAAGTGGCTTTAATGGTAAGGATAGTAATTTTAACTCAGTATTCCAAGCGAGCTTTGATTTTGATCTAAAGAAGAAAAGTAATGAGGTCACCTAAGATTTTGGGATGAAGGGAATTGCAGTGGGAGATTTGTTATGGTCACTGGACTGTCACTAGTGTTAAATCGCAGTGGTAAAGCAAGCAGGCCCCACACTGTTTAGAAGGAATTAATTTTACATTTAAATTAATTTTATTTTCCAACTATTTTATTTTTCCAACTATAATTTATGTTAGGATTATTTAATAAAAAACATTAATTTTTTTATGTAATTTTTTTAAATATATAATTTATTAAAAATAGACAAAACTTCTTACTTGAAAACTTAAAAATAAAACTGATATAAGAAAATTATTAATAAAAAAATTGTGATTTCTTTTAAAATGTTATACCTAACAATACAATTTTATTTTTGTGGTGTGATTGTATTTAAAAAAAATAATTTTTTTAATTTTTAAATTATTTTAATGTGTTAATATCAAAAATATATTTTTAAAAATAAAAAAATTAATAATTTTAATATATTTCTAAATAAAAAATATTTTTAAAAATAATCACTACTATAATATCAAAACTTCTTGAAATGAGTATTTATTTTATATTTTTAATTTTTTTTAATTTTTAATAATCTTAATCTTTCTAATAAAATAGATACCATAAACATTTTATGATATTTGTACACACACCTATATATATATATATATATATATATATATATATGATGGAAAATTAAAAAAATCCATAGTGAATATCCAAGTTCTATTTACTGAAAAAAATAAAATCCAAATTCAATAAAAAAATACCCATTGAGTTCTCTTTTTTTTCCCTAGCAAATCAAAGGAAGAAAGAACTAACATGAATTATTTTCCATGTATTACTACTTTCGAAAATTGAAGAAATGTTTGAGTTCTTCTCACACATAAATTATAAAGATACAGACATTTCTTTTCCTTGCAAGGCAGGGTTGCTGCTCATCGCTGCTATATTTTCCTATTCAAGAACAATGAGGTTTTCGAGTGGTTACCACCAGAAAACACCATCGTTAAACGGAACCTGATACAGTAAAGCAGATCCTTCACAAGGAATTGTATTCTGAGAAATTATATAGTTGATGTGGCCAAATATTCAAGAACACAAGGAGATAATCTTCTGCAACACACCAGTGAACATAGGAATTAACAAATAAAATCAAACCCACTATATGCAAGAACAATGAGCTTTTCGAGCGGTTACCACCGGAAAACACCATCGTTAAACGGAACCTAACACAGCGAAGCAGATCCTTCACGAGGGATTGTATTCTGAGAAACTATATAGTTGATGAAACTTGGACATAGCCAAATATTCAAGAATACATGAGACAATCATTTGCAACACACCAGTGAACCTAGGAATTGACAAATAAAATCAAGCCCACTATATAAATTGCTTCACCTGCATCTGCCCCACAAACCCACAATGACGAATGCTGTCAACTAAGTGACCCTGACCTTGCTGACAGCAAGGTTGGCATTGCAAATTAAACCGTGAAAATGAAAACCAAACGAATAAGTTTTAGTTTATGCAATGTGCTTAAATATTCAAGAAATTGAACTAGAGAAAAACATGGAACATGGATTGTGGGGCATGCAATTTACCTGTAACAGTTCTGAAATTAAAACCAGAAAGTTCGTTCCCAAATGAAATCTGCCAAGTAGCTTCTAAAGCTGGAATGATAGGAGCAACATCAGTGCCACTAGCCAGGAATCCAAGTCTGGTGAAGTCATTTGCCATCTCAGAACAGTCCTCGTTCACAGCATGTACAACAGCATCGATCAATATCTGCTTAATTTGCTGAAATATTGAGCACAGATTACCAGAGGTAACAAAATGAAGGCACACTGTGCAGATCAAATTAACCATATTGCAGTCTTGCACTCTATCTACTAGACTAATCTGTATAAATATGCTTTGTGAAGCATCCCTTTCCTAGCCAATTCAATAGAATATATCTTGAGATAAAAAAGATGAAGATAACTGAGATAAAGAAGACATATCCCATGTTCTTTCTATTTTGAAAAAATAAAAATTATTACAAAATTATTTCTCAAACATATATATTTATCTCTGTACATTATTTCTTTCACCGTTACAAAAATCAGTACACATATAAAACGTAATCTGTCAGAAACAAGTATTTCTGGGGCAAATTCTATCGATTTGGTTGGCATGGACATGGATATCACTCAGCTGACAGGCCGGCAGACGACACTGATCACCTTCTTGAATATCTCTAAGAGCATGCAACAAGACTGTTATGCCAAACAGAAGAGAGTTTTGAAAGATAAGAACCAAGGTGTAACCAAGCTCCTCCAGAAGCTTCTCACCAAATCCATCTACCATCAACTCAGAAGCATCCCAATTTCTGTAAACTTACTCCATTTAGGAATGAAGCAAGAGTTCTGAAGAGAAAGAGATCCCGATAGATAATTATAGGCTCTATTTCAGGTCTTTGTACCTGAAAATAAACGACTTTTCATTGTTTGCAATAAATACACAAGTGAAATATGCTAGTACATGAACCACACACAACCTTCATCGCAGCATCCTCCCCAGCTGCCCTCAAGGTAGCTCGGTAAACCTGTCCCCAACTCGCAGCTGCTATTGTCTGAGACCAGATTTTACTGAATACAACTTCAAGTGATTGCCTCAACTCCTCTTCTATAACATTGAAAGCAACCTATCAAAACATTCACGCCGCGATCAATGTCAAGTTGTCCATGGCGCTTCTCATGCTGCTGCTGCTTGATTTGCTGCTTTGTTAGTTGTTTTAACTGTTACGTTGCTGTTTGTCGATGATACGGGGGCGTTAGTGGTGGTGTCGACGACAGTGGAAGAAGAAGCAGCAGCGCAAAGCGGAGATGATCGGGAGTTGCTTACTTGGAGTGAGATTGGAGAGCAGGAGATGGGATTTTGAGTTGAAAGAGAAGGTAGATTTTGAGATAGATTTTTTGGAAACCTCAAATTGGTCCCTAGTATGTTATTTTCATTCCAAAACAAAAATATTTCATCAATAACGTGATACTAATTAATTAAACGAAACTGTCATCTATCCATGTTTATTAAGTTTTTTGTCAAGTATATGCCCTTCTAACATTGCCCTTCTTTCATATGAAAATTAAATGAGACAAATTAATGGACATTGATACGGGGATCCAATTCGAGAAGTGTTTGTAATATCAAGGGATAAAATCAGAAAATATTTTGTCTGAGATGAAATTAGGAGATATGAAATATTAGAGGCTAATTTTAGCCAATAAATTAGTGTGAAACGTAAGTAGATTTGTTGAGAGATTCAGTTTAAATTATTTTTTATTTTAAAAATATATTAAAATTGCATGTATTGATCTTAGAGCAAATGAAGTAGGTAGAAAATTAATAAATATAAATAAAAATATTGAGAAAATATTTTCATCGGTAAATTTTCTAGGGATTTTACGGATGAAAATATTCTCTCGATATATACCGAGGAAATTATAGTGAAAAAAATTAAAACAAAGCAAAAAAAAATGATGACAAGTCATTTTTACCAACAAAATTATAGACGAAATTTATTTCGTTGGTAAAATCCATCAGTAAATTCATTGGTAAACTGTGAACACTGTTTATCATGCCAATTATAAAGGGAATCACCGATAAATTTTTTGTTGGTATTTTCCAGAGAACTCTAGAACTGTTCACTTTCCAATTACACTGTTAATTGTTGCTCTTTACGGACAAAATCACCGACGGATTGAAAAGTCGTCGGTGTTATTTGACAATTTTATGAAAAAATTAAATTAATTTAAAATTTTTATTTAAATATTACAGATAGAATCATCGACGGATTGAAAAATCATTGGTAATTATTGGTGGTTTCTGAAAAAGTTTTATGAAATTAAAAATTTAAATTAAATATTACCGATGGAATTACAGATAAAATAATTACAATATATTAATATTCAATTATCCGTTGGTAAATCCGCCATTAACGTGCCCCAATAAAAAAACCTAAATACTCTTATTTCATAAGAGATAGACTTATTTCTTATTATTTTTCTTATTCTTTACTATATATAAAAAACTTCAATATTTATTTCTTTCCCTTCTTTTCTCTCCTCATCTCTTTCTTTTTTTCTCCGTGCTCGGCTATGTCTTCTTCTACTTTCTTCTTTTATCCTCTTGGTTTTTTGTAATTAATATGCTTTACAAATTTTTTTTTCTCTCTTTAGCTTTACTTGCAACTACATTAAGGTAAGATTTTTCTATTTTCATGATTTTTTTCACTATATTTATTTTCTCTTGTATTTTAATTATTTTTGTTCTTAATAATTGTATAATGTTGTTGTGAGATTGTTTTTTTCATATGAGATCAATTTTTAATTGATTTATTTATAGGATTTTAAATTTTTTAGCAATTATAACTTTATTTTTTTCATATGAATTTTTTTAGTTGAATTTATTTTTTCATTTTATTTATTTGTTGCAAATTTGTTTGAGTTGATTTTCTTATTCTCTTTTCCAAGCATTTTGAGTATATATTATAGAGTGTTGATTTATGCTAATTTAATTATTTTATAATTTTATAAAATGAATTTTTTTAAAATGTTTTTATATAATTACCGACGGAATTTCCATCAGAAATTTCATTGTTAATTCCGTCGGTAAATCTATTGATAAAAAAATATTATTACTGACGTATATGCTCCATCAATAAATCTATCGGTAATAATAGTTTTTTATTACTAATAGATTTACCGATGAATAAAAAATTACTAATAAAAGATTTACCCATGAATAATTTTTGTTAATGATTTTGTTAATAAATTAATTATTAATAAAATATATAATTTTGTTGGTAAAACTATTAAATCTTTGTAGTGAATTAAAGTTTCTCACATGACTTGCACGCATATTTTGTGTTTGCTGTTGGCTGACTGTGCGAATTTGTTTCAACTGGAGCTGCACGGTGGCACTTCAACTGAGCCTCAGATGGTAGAATCATCAATGAACACTCCTCTGTGGAGTGGATCAACTGGATATCAGACATCCATTTCAAACCTCGTATGGGACTGCTTCAAGTAAAAATTTTATTTAATGTCCTTCTTGCTATATGCGTTTGTCACAACATTATAGTTTCTTTTCCCCAGATGTCCAAGCAATTTAATGTTGACGGGCCTCAGGATTTTGATCAAGTGGTCCTTGACTGTCTGCAACAGTCTGCAAGCACGTGAGTTGAACAACTAAAATCTTCACTCCATGCAGCTTCTTTCTCCTCGAAATTTCATGTTGTCTATTGTTGCCTTGACTTTTTAATCTGCTACTTGTATCGAACTTGTGTTTAATTAATAGTCTAGTGATTTTCTTTTCATCTTGTCCAGCCATCCTTAACCGTTTTGTTGGTGCCATCTTTATGAATTTTGAGAACTGGCGGTTCTTTACCGCAGTGGACAGGAAAAGGGGATGCAGATGGATGAACTTTGCCAACAGCTGAAACTTACCATGTAGAAGATCAAGTAATCTCTCTATATCTCCTCTTCCTCACCCTACAGTATCAAGTAAAGCAATTCCTTTTCTTGACATTTTTTTGGTTTCTGCCAGGGAATCTATTAGATCACTAGATGAAGGTCTGATATACTCTACAATTGATGAGTTTCACTACCAAGCAACCTGATGAAGTTCATGGTATTGGGAATGCTACCCAGGCTTAGATTTAGTTTGGCAGCTCATTTTGTGATGAATGCTATTGCTGATTCTTCTGTTCCTTCTATCTGAATCTCAACAACATCAAGGCGCAAGAACCTTAATGTGCGTTGCTAAATTATACATAGAATCTCGTGACATGTTGATGTGTTGTTAACAAAATTCCAAATGATATGTTATTATTGTTTTTTTCCAAATCAATAATTTCCTCACAACAGTTATAATTGTTTTTTTCTTTAATCAGTGTCATCTTAACTGAACTTTTTGAGACCATTGGTTCTTGTTTGCCGGGGACTAGGAAAAGGGATGAACATTCCCAGCTGAAACTTCTCGTGGAGACGATAGCATAATTCCTTCATTTATGCACTCCATTGTCTCTTCCGAGAAGTCCATTGGATCAATTGAAGACAAATACTTACAGTTCTGTATTGATGAACCTCAGAATAATGCAGCATGTTAATGTCTATGGATGTGCAGAAACGTCACCTGGGCCATAAAGGCTCACGCAACTCATTGTATGATGGCTATGATGTTCAGGAATTTCACTGGGCTAGAATAGTTTCTGCGACTCATCGTATGATGAATGTAGCTGCCAATTATTTTCCTTTTCTTGTAGTCTCACCAGAAATTTCTTCAGATATTTGTTTCTCTCTAATTTTGGACGTAGCTTAGTCTGAATAAGTTACAATCCAGATAATGTTTCATTTCTGCTTGGCGAGAGAAGGAACAAGGTGAAGGCACTGGATGGGGCCGGCATTTGAGGCTTGTCATAGACTGTAAATCTGGTTAATATTTCCCTGAATAAAACTGCAATATTTTACTTCAACATGCACTATAAATTGTAGTGATAAAACAAACAAACAATAAAAACACTTGAATTTTATATCATTGAAAAAAATGACAATTCAAGTTTTCCCAACAAATGGAAGCCAGAAACAACTTTATTCTCACAACAAATTTTTTTATTATTATTAATTTATTGACATTCAGACATAACATTCTATTCTATTCTCTTCAATAATCCCTTCCAAAACTATTCCCTCTGTAGTACCTCAGCTGCAAAGAAACCTGCCTTTCCATCAACAGCTGCCGTCGAAAATTAGTAATAAAAATCTCAGCCCTCTTGTCAACATCATAATCTGATGATGATGACCCATCATGACTTCTTACCCTTTCAAGAGCTCGAACCGGCTTGCTTTGATGATCTGATTCAACATCTTCAAGTACCCCGTGTAAGCCAATTCGATCATTAAAGCTCAACCTTCTTATCGTTCCAGAGGAAGAAGACGAAGAAGCATCCCAAAGAATTGAAGAAGCCAGTCTCCATTTTCTGAAGTTAAGTAGAAAGTTTATTTTCTTGACAGTCCTCTTCAAAGGGCCTAGAACTGACCACTTCTGCTTCCCCATTTTGAGTTCTGTTTTCTTGCAGCTGAGAATTCATGAGGTGAGGGCATTTTTATAGGAGAGGGAGAAGAAGATTTTGAAGTAAGATTCTCTGTTCTTACAAGGAAACGTGTCCGTCGGATATTATCATGGCTTTTGTTTAAGGTGTACAGATGCCGACTCGAGGACATGACTTGATGTCTTGGGTGACAGTGTGGTTAGATTTTGATAAATCACAGATATACTATTGTCGCCGTTTGACCTGGTCATGTTCTTTTTCTCACTGGATTGTCATTTTGGGCCGTGACAGTGCTCTTAAGATGGGCTGCAACAGAGTGCATAACAGTCAGTTACTTTTACTCTTCCATAGCATCTGTTATCTTATTCTTGCTGACCAAGTTATGTGTTAAGAGTTTATTTTCTTGACAGTCCTCTTCAAAGGGCCCAGAACTGACCACTTCTGCTTCCCCATTTTCAGTTCTGTTTTCTTGCTGCTGAGAATTTATGAGGTGAGGGAATATTTACAGGAGGGAGAAGAAGATTGTGAAGTAAGATTCTCTGTTCTTACAAGGAAGCGTGTACATCGGATATTGTCACTGCTTTTGTTTAAGGTGTCCAGATGCCGACTCGAGGATTTTCATGACTTGGGTGACAGTGTGGTTAGATTTTGATAAATCACAGATGTACTATTCGCGCAGTTTGACCTGGTCTCACTGGATTGTCATTTTGGGCCGTGACAGTGCTGTTGAGATGGGCTGCAACAGGGTGCATAACGGTCGGTTACTTCTATTCTTTGAAAGCATCTGTTATCTTATTCTTGCTGACTAAGTTATGTGTTAAGAGTTTATATTAGTCCCTTTACTTTTAAGTTTATACGAATTTATCCCATCTATTTTTATTTGTGCTACTATCAACCCTTTCCTCTCAAGATATTTTTTGTTTATATCAGATAACATTTCACCGTAACATTAGATATGTGTTGTGATATAACAGGATGTAATTCGATTTAAAAATAACCTGAATTTTAGATAAATAAGAAATAAAAGATTGATTTTGAAAGTAAGGGACTGATATTAGTACAATGAAGGTATAAAAAGAAAATCAGCAGAGTTTCTTTATTTTTGTATTTTAAAAACGTTTTTGAAAAAAATTAAAAAAATTATTTTTTATTTGTTTCAAATTAATTATTTTACATTTTCATAGTATTTTAATATTTTGATATCAAAAATAAATTTATAAAAATAAAAAAATATTATTTCAATGCAATACTATATAAAAAAAACATTTTGAAAAACAATTGTTACTGTAATTCCAAATAAAGTCTAGCTCATTTTAAACCTTCAAAAGGAAAGGTTACCCAGTACATCAGTAGTATAATGATTTCTCTTTATAGAATATAGTAGACCTGTTCAAGGAGAGGAAGCTGACCTTTTGGGGTCGCAAGCTAAAAGGAAATACGAAGGAAAAGACAGAACTAATACATTGAAGAGCATGAGAAGCATGTTCAATTTTAATTCCATCATCATCACCTAACAGAATTGATAGTATAACATAATAGTAGTTGGCTGCAAACATCCTTCGTCTTGTGTGCTGTAGGAAATGGAAAGAAATTGGACATGGTCACAGGGACTTTCCCAATTTCACAAACAAATTGTTCCCCTCCTTCAAACCCTCCAATCTAGAGCTTTGACCGCCTGTTAAAACCTGAATCATGTTCATAACCTTCAACTAGATGACAGCTCTCGACCAGATTACAGGACCTCATCGGCCATTGTAGACAGAAAAATGAAATGTTTATTTGATGCCAAGTTGTGTATATAACCAAATAAATTGTAGAGAAATTTCTTCTGTTATCAGACTAAAGCATACAGAAGTTTTTTGGCCTTTAGGCCAGTAACCAATTGAGTCTAACAACATAACATAATAAAGGAACAAAAGTAGCTAACAAAAAATGTGAACAGCAACCCAGATTAATAATAACTAGATCCCCGATTGTTGAAAATATCATGCGAATTTCCTCCCCAACTGTTAGGGTTCAGATCTTCTTGTTGTTCTTCAATCTGCTTCTGTTTGTCCAGATCTTCTTTCTGTTGTTCTTCAATCTGCTTCTGTTTGTCTGACCAACCATATATCTGCCTTCTTAATTGCTTGCGAGCCTCCCGCTGCTCTAGCCTCATATCTTTGAAATCCTGATCCAACTCGGCTTCAGCTTCAGGTGTAAAGAAAACCACCTCCATGTTCCCAAGCTCTTCGTATAGCTTCTCAATCTTGGCTTTCCACAAGATGCCCATTTCTGTGTCCATTTTGTGATAAGGAGTCTTGAGCAGGTACTCATCAATCCCTCCTGCCTTGTCTATGCAACGGATAGCATGAGTGGTGACTTTGACTCGAACATGGCGGTCTAGGATGTAACTAAACAGTCTCTTATCCTGAACATTTGGCTTCCAACTTCTCCTACTCCTATAATCACCAACACACAAGCACTTCAACAAAATAAATCACTCTTCCTTCCCAATACATAGCACATAATACACATTCATTACACCAAAAACAGGAAAGCTCCAAGTCTTTCACGCAGCAGAAAAAATAAAAAGGTACAACAATCAAACAGGAACAATCCTCGTCAGACACATTCATACTAATCAGACGACATAAAAACATTCCTCACAACTGGGCAAGCTCTGACCAGTATCAAATTGCCCAAAAGACTATATTTTTGGGAACAGAAGCTCCTCACTGAATCTAAATAATATACAAAGTCGGCACATTCAAAAATCAATAACGAATGAAGATAAACGAAATCAACACCTTAATGGTAAAACGCTCCTTACCTACAAGTAAACCACTTAAAACTATTCAATCACAGAAGTTCTTCCCCTTCTCTGGCAATGATACGTTAACGTTTCCAATCAACATCTAAGTCGCCATGTTAGCTTCTTGACTCATAAATGCAGCAATTTAGCTTCCATCATCAACAATTACACATCAACAACCAGATTATTTCTACAAATCTAAATTTACCACAACAGCAACAAAATCCACTGTTCAAAAACTATCAAATTTCGTCTAAAATCAATGCCCATTTTCCAAAACAAACTCACACTTTTTTCCTCGTTACACACAGAACAACACACTAACAACAACCCCACAACATTCCTCAGCCCAAAGCATCATATCAAAAACAAAAACAAGCATCGAACCAAATATCAGTCAAAACCCAGAAGAAATGAGAAACCCATTAGCCATTAGAAGAGATTGAAGTGAAGAGGAACTTACTTGTTACCTCCATCTTCACTAACTTGATTACCGAACTGGATATGACGGCCAGCAAAAAGGCCACGTTTGGCTCGATTCATGACAACTTTGCTATTAGGAATTGCTTTTTTGAGAGCTTGTTTAACGCCAGGAGCCAAATTCTTCTCTCCTCCTATTTTTGACATTATTTTCTTCATCATCTCCTTCCCTCTAAAAGCCATTATCAAACTCGATTTAGGGTTTTTCGAAAATCAGAGGGTTTTTGGATTGAGAAATGGATGGCAGAAAAGTGAAAACGACTTGCATCGTGCTAGAGACCCGCTAGATGACCCTACCCATTTGACTGGTTGTGGGCCTGGGCTTGGGATTTTCTTAGGGAAGGTTGATTGTGCTTAATTAGTTAAAATTATTTTAAGGTTTCATTTGTTTTTTTTTTCCCAAATAATTTTAATGAAAATTCTTTCCAAAGTCAGAATTTTAAAGAGTTTCATCAGTTGAATATCATGCTGCACCGATGGGAAAATTTTGGTAAAATTAGTATGATTATTTCCTTTATTGTATTTTTTATTACTAGGTGTTAACGCTGCAATTATTTGCAAGAAAATAGATTTATTTGGAAAACAATTATGAAAAAAAAATTCACGGAAATAATTTTTTTATACATTTATTTTCTGTCACAAACAGTTATTTGTATAACATTTTTTTATTATTTGATTGATATTTCCTAGTGTTTACCCGAGATTAACCTGATTAATATTTTATGATATGATTTTAGAAAGTGAAGCTGTGGTGATGGCAGTGTGTAATAATATTCAAACTATAGAAATGGTGGATAGAAAAGGGATAAAGAATAATAATTTGTCATCAGAAATCCGAGACCTCTTCAACGAAGAGGACGAGAAGCTGCCGGTCACTAGCAGAACCATATTTGAAAGCTTAACTAGGATGGCCATTTACCAAAAGAGAGAAAGAAAGAACAATAGTGACCAGACAAGAGACCATATTTCAAGTATGAGTTGTGTTCTTGCCATCTTAAGAACAAGGATAAAGGACTATTGACATATATACCTGCTGCAGCATCACAGTGAAGATCATCATTTTTGTGACAGATAAAGGGATGTCTGCTGTTACCTGAAAGCCCTCAGATTTGATTGGTTCAACATGCTTCAGGATGCTGTAAATTCTGATTTTTGTGAAACTTGTGAGAGTCATTGTAGAGAGTAAATAGACAAGTTTGTTGGAGCAGTTAATCGGTTCTTAGATTTTTTTTATCAAGGTACTGAAGTGCATAGATTCGAGGTCTCTTTCTGTCTTCGTTGCGGTTTCTCACTCAATATTGATCGATAAGTCAGTTTTGCCATTAGAATCTGTGCTGGAAATCTCTCTATTGAACTGTACTGTGAGCAATACCTGAATCTGCCATTTATTTACTGAAATATGCTATTTCCCTAAAGCAGCTGGCTATCAGGAAAGTTTCTTTCTGAATCAAGGCAGTCATTGGATGTAGGAGTACGTGAAAAAGTTCTTGGAAAACTGCATGAATTCTCCAAAGGTGCAATCCTGACTATCCACTGGATGTATTCAGACTGTTTAGTGTAATAGGAAATCCTATTCTTCCTTCCTTTCCAAGGCTTTGTTGAAAACTAGCTCTATTCAATGGAAGTGCAAGTTTATCCAAAATATAATGTATCAGTTCCTAGGATAGTCTAACCTCATTTGTTCTTCTAAATACTCTGTATATTGCCTCCGGTAGAGAAAATTGAGATGTGAATGATACTTTCAAATCAAGTACCTAACTTGGAGAGGCTACATCTTGGTGCAAGCAAAAGACAACTACACTGTACTTTTACTGTCTCCTTAACATGTTCTTATGCTGAGGAACTATCTTGTAAAGGCCTGAGATCAGACAATCTACTCCTGGGAATTTCTGCCTTTGTTTTGCTATTTTCTGCTGCTGTTATGTTGTAGAGAATCCAGTCATTTGCTGCGATTTTTGGGTTCTACATGCTATCAAAATATAATATAAATTATATTTTAGAATGGTATCAGAGTTC